AATAAAAAATAAAAAAAAAAGAATATTAGTTATAAAATAGGAAAAAATACAGAAGTAGTAATACCAAAATGTGCTCTTTTAAAAGACTCATAAAATTGATAAATCCCTGGTAAGACTTACCAAATAAACAAGATAAGACAAAAGTAACCAAGGGTACTGAAAAATGGAGATATCAGACCCTATAGACATTAATAAAATAATGAGAATGAATTTTTTTTTTTTAAGATTTTATTTCTTTATTTGAGAGAGAGAGAACACATGAGAAGGGGATAGGGTCAGAGGACGAAGCAGACTCCCTGCCGAGCAGGGAGCCCGATGCGGGACTCGATCCAGGGACTCCAGGATCATGACCTGAACCTAAGGCAGTCGCTTAACCAACTGAGCCACCCAGGCGCCCGAGAATGAATTTTAAAACTTAGGTGAAATGGACAGATTTCCTGAGAAATGTAACTTATTCAAACTGACACAATATAGAAAATCTTAATAATTACATTCCTACCAAGAAATAGGATCTGTAATTTAAAATCTTTCTATGAAGAAAAGAAGATGCCAGGTGAAGATAACTTCACCAACAGATTTACCAAATATTTAAGAAAGAAACAACATGGGCACCTGGGTGGCTCAGTTGGTTAAACATCTGCCTTTGGCTCAGGTCATAATCCCAGGGTCCTGGGATCGAGTCCCACATTGGGCTCTCTGCTCTGCGGGGAGCCTGCTTCTCTCTCTCCCTCTGCCTGCCACTCTGCCTACTTGTGCTCTCTCTCTCTCTCTCTGTGTCAAATAAATAATAATAATAACAAACTATTTAAAAATTTAAAAAAAGAAACAACACTAATCTTACACAAATCCTCCTGAGAATGAAAAAGAAAAAATGCTCTCCAGCTCATTTAGTGAGGCTAGTATAACTATGATACTAAAATGTGAAAGGACATTAATATAGATAGAATAATCCTAAACAAAACATCAACAAATTGAAACTAGCAATATACATAAAAGAATTATGTCTCCCAACCAAGTAGATTTATTCCAGAAATTTTGGAAGATTTGGCATTCAAAATTCAATCAGTATATAGCAATGTAAGATCTTTTTTCTTTTTTTTTTTTTTTTTTAAGATTTTATTTATTTATTTGACAGAGAGAGAGCACAAGTAGGGGAAGCAGCAGGCAGAGGGAGAAGCAGACTTCCCACGGAGCAGGGAGCTGAACGCGGGGCTCAATCCCAGGACCCTGGGATCATAACATGAGCCAAAGGCAGCCGCTTAACGACTGAGCCACCCAGGCGCCCCTGAGATCTTAGTAATAGTGGGAACTGGGTGAGGGGTGAATGCGAACTCCATAGTGACTTCACAACTTTGCTGAACATCTAAAACTATTATAAAATAAAATTTTATTTAAAACAGTATAATTCACTGCATTAAAAAGAAGAAAAATCACATCTTAGTAAATGTAGAAGCAACATTAGGTAAAATTCATCCTTCTTTTGCAATAGATCCCTTAAATTCTGCTCAGAAAGAAATTCTTTAACAAACATAGCTATAAAACCCTTTTGGAAACATCATATGGCAAAATGTTGAAAGCTCTCCTTAGTGATTGGGAATAGACAAGGATACCAGTTATCAACACCTCTATACAATATTGTATTAGAAGTTGCACCCAATGGGCGCCTGGGTGGCTCAGTTGGTTAAGCAACTGCCTTCAGCTCAGGTCATGATCCTGGAGTCACAGGATCGAGTCCCGCATCGGGCTCCCTGCTCGGCAGGGAGTCTGCTTCTCCCTCTGACCCTCCTCCCTCTCATGCTCTCTGTCTCTCATTCTCTCTCTCTCAAATAAATAAATAAAATCTTTAAAAAAAAAAAAAAAAAAAAGAAGTTGCACCCAATACAATAAGGCAGGAAAAAAAGCAACATATGGTGTAAAGATTGGAAAGAGAGAAACACAACTATCATTATTATAAGTGATATGATTGTGTGCAGAGAAAATTTAAAAGAATCTATAAATTGTTAAAATCAACAAGTGCATGTAGCTGAGCTGCTGCATACAAAGTCAATAAGCAAAAATCATTTGTATTTCTATTACCAGCAACAAAATGAAATCTTAAGAAAGATGCCATTTACAATATCATCCCTAACAATAAATCTAACAAGTGGTGTGTGGTACCTCTAAGCAACAAACTATAAAGCATTATTAGAGAAATTAAAGGAGATCTAAATAAATGGAAAGAAATAAAATGTTCATTGATTTTTTTAAAACTCAATATTGTAAAGATCTCAATCATTCCCAGATTGACCTATGGATTCAGTACAAAGTCAAGTATTAACAGCCCATTCGATTCTAAAATTCATATGGAAATGCTGAGGATAGATTCTAAAATTTGTATGAAAATGCTACGGAAAGGTTACAAAATTAATATGGAAATAGCTTAAGTCTTGAGGAGAAAGAGAGTGGGAAGACTTGTTCTTTATATCAAGATTTACTATAAAGCTAGAGTAATTAGAATTAGTAGAGCAAGAACAGATGAGCACTGAAACAGAACAGAGAATCCCGAAACATCGCCAACATATGTGGACACTTGATTTACATCAGAGGTGGTGCTGCCAGGAGTAGTAGGAAAATGATGGTATTTTTAATAAGTGATTTGGGGATATCTGAGAAAAAAATAAACCTGACCCGTATCATATTTCAAACCCCAAAATAATTTCCAGATGGATTAATATATTCAAATATGAAAGGTAAAACAGTAAAAGCTTCTAGAATTTATAACATAGAATATTTTCATGACCTTGGGGTAGAGAACAATTTCTTAGGACAGAAAAAGCACTTACCATAGAGGAAACTATTAATAAGTTGGATTATGTTAAAATAAGAACTTGTATTTATCAAAAGACCCTATTAAGAGTGTGAAAAGACAAGGAACAGAGTGGGAGAGCATATTTGCTCACAAAGGGCTCACTTGCAGAATATATAAAGAATTGCAGGTCAGTTAGATGAGACTTGAACAAGCACTTCACAAAAGAGAATATCAAAATGGCCTGTAAAGATATGACAAGGTATTCATTCACATTAGTAATTGTGGAAATGCAAATTAAAACCACAGTGGATCATTCTATATGCCTACCAGATCGACTAAAATTAAAATGAATTAACGAGAACACCAAGAACTGGCCTGGATGTGTAGCAACAGGAATGCTCATACACTGAGGTATAAATTAGTACGTCCACTTCAGTAGATAATGCCAAACTGTTGTCCAGAGTTGAACATCTACATAATAGTTGAGCATTCTAATTCTAGTAATATACTTCACAGAAATAGCAGCAAAAAAAATGCATAGGAATAGTCATAGCAGTCAAATTCACAATAGCCAAAAATTGGAATCAGACCAAATGACCACTGACAGTAAAAAGGATAAACTATGGCATATGTGTTCATAGTGGAATTGTATACAATAATGACAGTGAACTACAACAGACAAAACACAAATCAGTCTTACAAACATTATGTTGAGCAAAAGAAACCAGATACAAAAATACATATTTGATTGTTCCAATTACCTAAAGTTCAAACACAATGAAAACCATAGTGCTTGTGGATCCACACATGCTTACATGATAAAACTATAAAGAACAGCAAGAAAGGATTTCAATAAAGGTCAAGAGAGTGATTTTCTTTGGGAACAGAGACACATACACTTGTATTGTGTACTTTTCTTTATGTTTCTCATACTTAACAATAAAAAAGTTTAAAAGTTACAAACCTACAAAAATGTGGAGATTTTTACAGGGACTTTTAGAAACTGGAAAACGAATTAATGTTCCTCACTTGGCTGATTCAAGAAACCTAAAGTAGTGGTGAATGCTGAGTTCCAGCACAGAATTCTCAAAAAGCAAAGGAATTGGTAGTAGCAGTTTCTAGAATTGGGGACTGTGGGTTGGGGGAAGGAGGGAGATGGTCACTGAGCTAAAATAAGACTAGGTGGAAGCTGTTTGAAAAGCAGTTACTGTCCTAGTTGCCACTGGGCAACTGCCTCTTCTCCAGGTCTGGAGGCTAATCTCCAAAAAAGGTGTAAACTAAAAATTTCTGGGTTAAGAATACAACTGAGGGCATCAATACCTTGCCCAAAACAGGTGAATTGAGTGGCCATGTGCATCCTCAGTACTGATATAGAGAACTCCCTCACAAAGCTCCCCCACCCCATCCCTACCTGTAAAGCTGCCAGTCAGCGGTCCACCCGGCAACTTGGAGAGCCTTTTAGGCCCCCATTCTCAATCACAAGCAGACACCAAGGATTACCAGCCACCTCAGGAAAGTCTCGAAGAGAATCAACAACACAAACAGCAGAAAGCAATGTGAATGAACTTGAGATTCTGAAGAAAATATAAAACTGAAAAAGGGAAAGATTATAATATCTCCAAAAAGACACAGGAAGATAGTGACTCCATTAAACAAAAACATATGGCTTTACTGGTGTTGGGTATTAAAGAGGGCACGTTCTGCATGGAGCACTGGGTGTTATGCACAAACAATGAATCATGGAACACTACATCAAAAACTAATGATGTGATGTATGGTGATTAACATAACAATAAAAAGTAAAAAAAAAAAAACACATGGCTTTATTAAGAGATTTGTAGGCTGTTCATTTTGCCCTTTGTTTTTGTTCCCTGTTTTCAGCATCATTTGTTTCCCAAATAGTATCTTTTTCTTTGTCCAATTTTATTTGCATGACTTGTGGGGATAGGGTGTTTTGGATGACAATAGAGGTGAATTAATGTAAAACTATAAACTTCTAAGAAAAGGAAAAACTGCTGACAAGAAATCTGTGATTTAATACTCTATCATGCTACCAAGGATGTCTCTTCTGAGCTGATAAAAGATAGTAGTAGCCTGCTTCTCTCATTGCATTTCACTTTGATTTTTTTTCTCTCTTCCATGTCAACCTAAATTTCTCTTCCCATAATTCTATCTTCATCTTCTTGTTTCTTGGTGTCTCTTCTCCCTGAAGATCACTACATTTCAAGCTATCGGAAAGGTATCTGACTAAAATGTGCTAAGAGCTTAATACTTGCTGTCTGTCCCACCACAGCCTATTAATTTTATTAGACCTTTTTAGTTGTAGTTGAGTGATTCAGACAGGCTCTCCATCCTCCCTTTCTGTTTTAGTGTAAATGTTTTCTTTGCACCTGCTGTATAATTCTGCAGGATATTGAGAACTGGAGGGGTGAGGAAGGAGAGGCCATGTTTCTCTTTCTGACTTTTGAGTGCGGTCACCTGGTGCATGCCTGGACCTTGGCTTCTCATGTGTGAGCTGTTCCCTTAATCTTAGATGAGAAAAGGCCATACAATGTTGTGGTAACATTTTTGGTGTTGTTTTATAAAGACCTTCCCCACCATCATAATTTATATTGCACAGTTGTCGATGTTAGGAAATAACTCACCGGTTTGTGAGTGAGGATTATAGAATGAAAGCAGCCCCTCACTAAGTTGAGGAGAGCTAGCTCTATGTTGTGTTTGCCCACAGAAGACAACTGGGTGAATCGTCACTTGCCATTTGGCAGGCCAAACCCCGCATTCTGAGGTGGCCCACAGCATTCTCAGAAGAGATCTTTGCTGTAGCGACTGTCTTTGTTGATACATGTATGTTTCATTCTTCACTGTGCTCTGTATTTCAGAACCACAAATAAGTTCCCACCTCTTGTAGGTCTGTCCAGTCTGTCTTTGTTGTGACCCCCTCCATTTTTTTCATCTTGCTTTTCCCCTCTTCTGGGTTGTTTTTTCTCTTGCTCCTTAGAACTTCCTGGGATTTTTCTTTGTCTAAACAAACTTAGACCTTGATTTCTTTTTTTAAAATAACAATTTCTTTAACTTAGAAAGATACTTCATCCTGCATTTTTAACAACTAACCAGTTAACACATTCTTTTAACTCACTGATTCTTTGTATTCCTGAAGGAGGCACTACAGTTCGAAAGGAGATCATCAAGAATAAAATCAGAGCCATTGGGAAGATGGCACGGGTCTTTTCAATTCTGCGGTAAGGATAAATCTGTCATTGCAGTGTGGGATCAAAGCATTTTGACAGAAAATTGGAAGTTGATTTCAGAACAGTTTTTTTTTAGAATTGGAGTTTGTATGATTGGATAGGTCTTCAGAGTCAGAGCTGAGTGCACATTGAATCTGACCTATATATTAAAGTGACTAGAAATGTTTTGGCAAACATTCATTTGGTACAAGCTTAGATGTAGTGAATGGAGTGATTTAGTGTGGATTCTGGAGCCAGATTGCCTGTGTTCACATCCTGGCTCGACTTCTTCTTAGCTGTATGATTTTGAGCCTCAGTTCCTTGTCTGTAAAAGCATGATAATAAAAAGACCTGCCTTACACAGTTATTAGGAGGATTAAATGGGGTGATATAATGGAAGCATTAGAACAGTACCTGGCTATTAAGTAACTCTAACTGAAAAACAAGAATCTGCTGGTGGTTTAAAATTGGAACACTTTCAGAAAACATCTCTTTCGTTGGGTCAGGGAAGGGGTAGGAGGAAGGAGAACCTTTCCTCCATCTCTGTGCATCTTTTCTTAACTTCCCATCTAGTGCCTTTGAACTGCTGAGCAGTAGACACCCTGGCATTAATGCAGGGCTTTCACCTTCCTTTGCAGGGAAGAGAGTGAGAGTGTGCTGACTCTCAAGGGCCTGACTCCAACAGGGACACTCCCTCTAGGTGTCCTCTCAGGAGGAAAGCAGACTATTGAGACAGGTGAGTATGAGAAATACTCCTTTCATGGAAGGTGTGCTCCCATTACCCAGCAGTCAACATAAAATTTAAAATTAGGGCTTTTTTCAATAAATGATACTAGAGCAATTGGATATCCATGTGGGGGAAAGTGAATCTTAACTCTTCTCTCTATATACAAAAATTAATTCAAAATTAATTACAACTTAAATGTAAAAGAAAAAATAAAACTTACCCAAAAAAGTATGGAGAGTATTAGAGTAGATAGAGTCCTTAGATAGGACATAAAAAGTACTAATCTTAAAAGAAAAAAAATCAATTAATTAAATTTCATTAAAACTAAGAATTTCTGAAAATACATGTTTAGGAAAGGGAAAAGCCAAGCCATTAACTGAGAGAAGATTTTTTGCAATACATATGTCAGACAAAGGGCTTAAATTCAGAATCTATAAAGAATTATAAACTCAATAAGAAAAACACAAACAATTTTTTAATGGTCAATATATTTTAATAGGCACTTCACAAAAGAGGGTATCAAAATGGCCAGTGAGCATATGAAAAGATGCTTAATATAGTTACTCATCTGGGAAACAGACATTAAAACCACAGTGAAATACCACTACATATTCACCAGAATGGCTAAAATTGAAGTCTAACAATACCAAGTGTTGGTGAATTTATGGAGAATAGAACTAGATACATTGCTGGTGGGCATGTAAATTGGTTCAACCACTTTGGAAAACTCTTGGGCAGTTAAACAAAACATATATCCTACCCCATACCCCAGAAATCCCAGCCCTGGTATATCAAAGAGAAATAAATGCATATGTCCACCAAAGGATTTGCATAACAATGTTTACCGTAGCTTTATTCATAATAGCCCCAAACAGGAAAAAACCCAAATGTTCTTCAATGGTAGAGTAGATAAATGTGTTCTGTTTCTACAATGGAATATACACAGCAGTGAAAAAATAACACTATGAACACATGCAAAAACATGGTTGAATCTCACAAATACTATGGTAAACTAAAAAACTAGGCACAAAAGGGCACAGACTATCTGATTTATAGGATGTTCAAGAATAGGCAAACTAGCCAAACAGTAATAGAAGTCAGAATGGCACTTCCTCTGGTGGGAGAATATTGACACAGAAGGAGCAGAGGGGACTTCTGGAGTAGTGGCAATGTTCTATATCACTATCTGGGTAGTAGTTACACAAGTATATTCATACATAAAAATGTATAGAGCTGTGCACTTTAGATTTGTGCACATGATATGTCTACACTTATGTATGGTTTTTTTTTTTTAAGATTTATTTATTTTAGAAAGAGAGCGCTCGAGTGGGGGGCGAGGGAGAGAGAGAATCTCAAGCAGACTCCCTGCTGAGTGCAGAGCCCACAAGGGGCTCAGCTTCACAACCCTGAGATCATGACCCAAGCTGAAATCAAGAGTTGGACACTTAACTGACTGAGCCACCCAGGCATCCCACTTATGCCTGTTTTATATTGGGGTGTTAGCATTTCTCAGAGAGGGTGTTTGCCTCTGCCTGAGAGCCATATCCTACTCCAGTGCCACAGTCACCTATCCAGTCAGAGTGTCAGTTCTAAAACACACGTGGACCCCAGCTTATAAGGAGAGGGCTTTATGGAACCCTGGAATGAAAAGATTGATGTTTGTCAGAATAGACGTAGATCTGGTCAAGCAAGATGACTAATTCTAGGCACAAAAACTGCAGCTGAAGCATTAACAACTTAAACTAGAGTTTCACTGTTTTTTTGCCCCCCTTGTTTATTAAATTGTTTCTATTTAAGCTTTTCTTTTTTCTTGTCATCCTGTTACTTATAGGAAACCTTTGCTTTTTGTGGTAAGTCCACTGATAGTCATTAATAGGAATAAGCCTTTTTCCCCCCTTTCTTTATGTAGGATTGAATTCCTCCTTCTCTTTCAAATTAAATACTGGAATATTAGAGTTTAACTATTTGGAAGGAGGAATGAACATTTTCTCCTTGGAAGTACATAACTAATTTTCTTAATTTCTTTAGTTTCATGGAAAGGATCAGTAAACTATTTCAGGTTGAATATTTTTCTCTCAAATAAATGTACAGTTTCTTGTAAGCAAAATACTTCCCTCCATTACTTTGTTTGGTAATTAGTCATGTGAGCCACTCTGAGAGCACTTCTGATGAGGCAGGTTGCAATTAGTAGGAAACACCATGGGTGAAGAAAAAGGGAAAGTCTTCTACATCCTTACTTGAAAAGTTTTGGAAACTTGCTGATCCACAAAGTTGTTCTTTCAATCTGGACCTTGAAAGAGCAGATCTGAGATGAATAACGAGAATTGTATGGATGTGCTATTTGGAGATTTGTTTGTTTGTTTATAGTCTTTGGTCTGCCTTTTGTTCTCAGTCCCAAGTATATAGTTTCTCTTCATTCCTAATTGGAATATGAGTGTTTTAATCAAATAGGATTTTTTATTGATGCTTTTGAAAATGATAGACATCTTCAGGAATGCGTAAGAACAAAACTAAGTTGGAGCTAGCTTTTTAGAGCTTCTTATGTCTCTTACTGATTGACAGAAACTAAGTTTATTTGTCATTTTCCCATCAGAGTCTCAGTTCTACAGGTTCATTGGCAAACTGGAGCATTAGCTAGAAAAGACCTTTTATTGTTCCTTTAACTTTACTTGGAGAACTTTCAACCAACAATATCCCATATGGCCTTATATCATATATTCATTTGTCTTACCTTGTTCCAAGAGGGATTTGAGTAAGTTACAGTATATGTATAACACATTGAAGTAAAATAAATATGCTTGGAATTTGGAGCACAAAGGAAAACAAACAAACAAAAAGCCAATAGACAGCCACAAATTTTACTCCCAAGCTTCCTAGTACCGAAATAAAGAGGAGTGCCAAGAACCGAACGAGATTCACAAAGACCATAAAATAAAAAACAAATCAGTTATAAATTGGACTACCTCAAAATTAACATTTGTGCTGCAAATGGAACCATCATCAAGAAAGAGAAACGATAACCCAACCCATAGGATGGGTGGAAATATTTACAAATCATACATTGCATAAGGAACTGGTATCTAGAAAATAGAAAGAACTCTTATAATTGAATAATAAAAAGACAAGCCAATTAAAAAGTGGGTAAAAAAGTTGAATAGACATTTTTCCAAAGACATACAAGTGGCCAATAAGCATGGGAAAATTTGCTCAACATCATTAGACATTAAGGAAATACAGACCCAAACCACAATGAGATACCACCCACTAGGATGGCTGTGATCACACAGATAGTAGCAAGTATTGGTGAGAATGTGGAGAAATTGGGACCCTCATACCCTGCTGGTGGAAATGTGAAATGGTGCAGTACTTTGGAAACCAATCTGGCAGTTCCATAGATGATTAAATGTGCAGTTGACCTATGACCAGCTGTTCCACTTGTAGCTATACACCCCAGAAAAATGAGAACGTATCCACACAAAGACTTGTACACAGATATCCACAGCAGCATTTTTCATTAGAGCCAAGAAGTGGAAATGGCTCAGACGTCCATCACCTGATGAGGTGGCTCTTCACACGGTAGCATACTATTCAGTCATAAAAAGGAATGAAGTACTGGTACATGCTTCAACGTGACTAAACCTTAAAAACATGCTAAGTGAGGGGTGCCTGGGTGGCTCAGTGGTTAGGCGTCTGCCTTTGGCTCAGGTTGTGATCCCAGAGTCCTGGGATCGAGCCCCGCATCAGGCTCCCTGCTCAGCGGGAAGCCTGCTTCTCCCTCTCCCACTCCCCCTGCTTGTGTTCCCTCTTTTGCGGTCTCTCTCTCTGTCAAATAAATAAATAAAATCTTAAAAACAAAAAACATGCCAAGTGAAAGAAGTCAGTCACTAAAATCAGAAACTCAGCGATTCTATTTATATGAAATGTCCAGACCAGGCATTGGTTGGCTTTAGGATTAAGGGAAAGGGATGAGGGAGGTAAATAGCTTTCTTTTGGGGGTGATGAAAATGTTCTAACCATAGATTGTGGTGATGGTTGTACAACTCTATATTAAATCATTGAATTGAACACTTTAAACAAGTGAATTTTATGGTATGTGAATTATATTTCAGTAAAGAAATATAATAAAAATATATACAAACATAAATTAAATATAAATAAATAAACCAGTTTCTCAGTTTTTTTATGACTGTTTCTTATATATAATGCCCCTTAATGCAGGCTGGTATCTTAATACCCGGTGCAAAAAGCAATTCTAGAAGGACCCAAAACAGTGTAATACTTGCACACATTTTACCACATAGTGTTTAAACTCTAATTAGACCAACAACCTGTATACAATTTCAGGCTATGCTTTGTTCTTCAACTTTGTAACAGCAGCAGTGATGTACTGTTTGAAGGCACTATCGTTTTCTTGTGAACGTTTATTTGTTCTATTTGAGGCAATTAGAGAGGGTGTGACATTGCCTTACCACAGGCCTACAGATGGTTGACAAATTTAAGCACTTGATAAGTTGATTCCAAGGTTCCATTTTTCACACTGTGATAGGACATTAACTGTCAGTTCTTCCAGTTTCTCCTCTCTTATTGATACACAGAACCTCAAGAACAGTAAACTGTCCTGTTCATTATTTTTCCCTGACTTCTTGTAAAAAATCAGTACTGGAGGAACTGAGAGGGTTCTTCTAATAAGATCTTTCTTGCTACACTTGTAACCTTTTCATGTATTAGGGTTTTTACTACTTTAAAAAGATGATGCAAGGAAGTTTACCTGTTGGCACTAATTTTTAAATTACTTCCTTTTCCATCACTGAAGGAGAAGGCCCTCTTAGTAATTGGCCTGCTCTCTGCACAGTGAATGGAAGCTGTATGGGTTGGAAATTGCAGCTTCTACTAGATCTCTAATCCCAGATGGTTACAGGAATTTGTATCTGGTATTGAGTAGTTTTATGTCTTTGCCAGTTTAGTACTCCACCCCTGGACAAGAAATAACCACTCACTTAAAACCCATGTTTCTCTCCTTCCAAATGCTAGTCTGTTATTCAAAGGTCATTCTTTTTTTTATTAAGTAATTAAAAAGGACAGTTGGACTCCACATAAATTGCTTAAGAGCAGTAAGAATTAGTTTTAAGTAACTATTTTGTGTAGGACCCAGCAACAGCTCATTTAATACCATCTGAGCTGTTAGAAACTAAAGAACAGTTGTGATGTTAAATTATTTGACTCAAGTTATTTTGATACGTGAATGTCAAAGAGTAAATTAGCAGCTGTATTTAAAAACTAGGAAAGCACTATAACTCTTGGTTTCTTATAGTCAGCTTGACTGACCCATTGTCTTAGCTACAGATGCTATTAGCTAAAACGGTTCCCATGCCACCCGAAATGTTAAAAGTATTAGAAACTCTCCCCACCTCACATCTCCCCCCAGTTTAGTGTTTCTCAGTAATCCTGGCTTCTCTAACTAGTTGACTTTTATTATGGATGGGAATAGGCTGAGGTGGGAGCCTGGGTTGTCTGTGCTGGCAGCAATGCTGTTGGTTTACTCACTCTTGTTCTGTCTTCATTTTTGCATGCCACTGCTCCTGCCTCTTACAGCCACAGTAGAAGCGGTAGAGGCCCGGGAAGGTATGGCCATATTCCTATGATAGATGTGATCATGTGTCTGTCTACTAGTTTTAAAGTGTCAACATTTGAAATCTTCTATTATTGCATCACCAGAACTATAGCAGTGAGAAAAGGAATAAATATTTCTAGGCATGCTCACAAAGTGTTTCCTTTGGGTCCTGTATCTGTGTTAATTTAAATGACCCTCTCCACAGCAAAAGTCCTCTCTGGGCTCTGTCAGTTTTAATGCAATGGTTGAAGCTTAAGCAACTGGTCATGAGGGATCAGATGGTTTAATTTTGGAGCCCTTCCATATAGAAGTGACTTATGTGTGATTACTAGAGACCCAAACAGGTCAGCCTCTTTATCTAATGATTCTAAAGGATATCAAGAGCAGAGGCAAAAGTAGACTAGGATTTAGTTTGATTCATTTCTGAGGTTGCCCTAAGGCGGTCAAGCTAAATTATCTCTGTTTCTATGAAAACAAATTTCAAGTAACAGATCATCTATGAATCTGACGATGAAAATCATTGGAATTGATAAACTTGTGTTATTAATTTAATTGTTTTGTTAAGTAAGGTGGTTCAAAATGGGAATGCCTTTCCTTGGTGATACAAAAGTTCCATTAGAAGGAAGATATCCAGAAGCTATTTTTTAGATGCCTTTTAACTTACATTCAGCTCCTGGTTGTGCAAGAGAAAAAGCTGTCCTTCTAAACAAAAAAGATTAGCTCTTTTATTACTTTTTTTATGGTCAATATGGTGTTTGTGCTAAAGTTAACTACTCTGTTTAACTTGCTCTATTATTCTAGTATTGCCTTTTGTCTTACATTAAGCATGTTTCAGGCCCATAAGAAACCCTTTCTCAAATGTACTGAAGTTCAGAACGAACTTGTTAGTCATTTGTCTGGTATACTTATGTCATGATTAATTGTATTGAGCTTCTGTGAAAATCACTTTCATAGTTTCAACTGCCCTATGGGCCTTAAGGAAGCAGTAGCTTCAGATGAGGCTGATTCAAGTCAAATATTGCCCATTAACCTTCACCAGACATGTGCTCCAACCTTCTATGGTTTTCTCTAGGAGGTTGCTGTATGCTAAAAAACTTTAAGCTTGTTGCTTTGTTGTCTAATCGAGCTCCTCCCTTTCCTGTTTTCCTGTAGCCATCAGAGGGTTTTCGCTTCAGCACAGGATCCGGAGTTTTGAAGAAGCCCGAGGTCTGGACCGAATTAACGAACGGATGCCACCCCGAAAAGACAGCCAGTACCCCGATGGGCCAGTGAAATTGGTGGCCCCTGCACAACCCAATGCTGTGCACAGGCGCGACAGGGGGAGAAGAGCCAGTAATGACGCAGAGCCCTGCTGTGGCACAGGTGGATCCAAAACTTAAGAACAAATTTTATTTATTATTGGAAAACAAAAACAACTTTAACAACTTAAACCTGGAGGTGCATTCATAATTCAGTCTGCATTTATGCTGTAAGAAAGGTGACCATTTTATAAATTGTTTTTAATTTATGTTTAATATATATAAAAAGTGCATCTGTTTTGTTTTTCCCTTTTTTTTCCCTAATTTTTAGGAACTTATCTGATTGTCTGATACATATGTGAAGTCTTGTGCTACAAAGGGGACCTTCCCCTAATAAAAGGGCCTTGGAAACCTCCACCCTCGGTTTCTGACTTGAACTAGCCAGCCGAGTTTTCTCCTGTTCTTTTGGAAGGTGATATCTTTCATTTCAGACTAATAATAGTTTTTCAAACATAAGAGGGTGGTTTTCTTTTCCCTTTCTACAGGGTGCCATTGAAGAAGATTGCTCAGATTTCAGTGGCTAAAACTTCTCTTCTTATGGAAAACTTGATTAGAGTAGAACTTCTAAGTGAATAACCCAAACCCAGTGATTTGAGGGCCAAGAGAATGTTTTCCATATAACCTACTTTCTTCTGAACTCTCAGTTCTTTTTAATATGTTCTAGTAAGACAAAATAAAAAGCAGTGAGGGATTTTCTTAGAATTACTCAAAATTTCTTCTTCCAACCATGGGCATGATTGGTTTAAACTTCCCTTAGAACTTCGGAGATTTCTTAACTCTTCCTGGATCCTTTTGCTTTCATTTTTGAAGCCCAGATGATTTACCCAACTGCAAAGGAAGCTGCATTTCTAAATATTTTATAAATGCCCTCTGTAGAACTTTTGATAGTAAGAGGTATTTATGTCCTGTGAGATTGCATCAGCTGTTGTGTCTGTTCTCCCCATTGTCCTTCTGTTTCTCTGTGTCAGTGTTTTAAAAAACAACTGGGGTGATGGAAACTGACTAGGGTAGAATGATCCCCTTATGAATTGGAAGTCTTGCTAAAGGGCATTGGATGATGAGAATTTCCTTTTTCTGTATCAATTACTGGGGTGTTTCTCCATCTTTAAACACTCATTAGGTTGAACTGTATGTCAGTCTCCGTCAGCATATTTTGGAATACAAAAACAAGTGTTCAGATACAGTGTTTGAATAGTCTTCTCTTAGTTTTTCAAGTAACAACCAGTGAGGGAAGGAAATTTCAGTGATCCTTGGGCTCCCGTTTTGGGTTTAGTCTGGTGACAGGTGCCATGTCATAATACTCACTGGTAATACTCATTGGTCAACTTTGCAGCATGTCTGGGCAATACTACACCAAAGTGCTTAATTACAGAATTCTTAATATCATTTGGGATGGAGGAGTCCAGCATTGAAGCAAGTATCTCTGACAGTAGTGGTTTATGTTGTAAGCTTTAAGGACACCAGAAACCTTTTTCAAAAAAACGAAAAAAAAAAACAAAAGACCCCACATAATTTCACTAGAAGAATGAGGATTTAGCCCATCTATTTCTGTTTTCCTATACCTTTTGCTAACAGTTCCCAATTTATGACAGAGATCAAAGCATTTGGGGGCTTGGAATCTGATGGCATGGATTGCTCTATCAATAAAAAATGATAGGAAGGATATGGGGGAAGGAGATAAAAGACCTCTTACTGGGTTATGAATAAAACATATGAAAGGAGGGAAACAAAGTCTTGAGTAGTTATCTTTACCGATCATCATTTTTTTACACTCAAAGAAAAGAAGGAATTCTTCATCTGGATAGCCTCACACTCCTCCCTCCCCCAGTCCCACTCTAGAAAGGACCACTGTTTTGGAAATCTCACCTAATATGAAGGTCAGTCCACATGACAGATTTGATGGATGGGAATCTCCATCTCTTTCTCCCTTTCCCCTAGCTGAGGCTGTTGTACATACATAATCCGCAGGTAGAAACCACTCTTAAGGGCTTCAGTCATCAGGCATGTAGTGAAATAGTTATTGAAAATCCTTACAAGCAAAAAATACTGTTCTAGTAAAAAGGATTATTATTTAGGAATGTTTTCATTATCTTCTCAAAAACAAGTTGTATAGGAAAGCAAGTTTCTGGGGTGCCTGGGTGGCTCAGTCGTTAAGCATCTGCCTTCGGCTCAGGTCATGGTCTCAGGGTCCTGGGATCGAGCCCCGCGTCAGGCCCCTGGCTCAGCGGGGAGCCTGCTTCTCTCTCTCCCTCTGCATCTGCCCCTGCTCATGCTCTGTCTCTCTCTGTCTCAAATGAATAAATAAAAAATCTTAAAAAAAAAAAAAAGTAAAATAAAAAAAAAAAAAAAGCAAGTTTCCTTGACAGAGGCATGGCAAAAGACCTATAAATACAGAGAACAAACTGAGGGTTGCCAAAGTGGAGGGAGGAGGGGCAAAGTGGGTGAAGGCGAGAGGGAGATCCAGGCCTCCAGTTATGAATGAATAAGTCATGGGAATAAAAGGCATAGCGTAAGAAATACAGTCAGTGATACCATAATAGGGATGTAAGGGGACAGACTGGTAGCTACACTTGTGATAAACATAGCATGATACATAAACTTGTCAAATCACTAAGTTGTACATCTGAAGTGTAACATGTATGTCAACTATACTCCAAAAAAAAAAAAAGAAAAAGAATGTATTTTACAGGTACCCTGTGAGCTGTGGAGGGATCAGCCAGAGAGGTAAGAAGTCATGATTCAAGAAAATCGGAGTGAGTTTACGATAAAGCAACAAGGAAGTTAGGTTTGGAAATTCAAATTCTGTTGAATTCTAAAGGTAGAGGTATTTCTTATGTTCTACAGAAAGTTGGGGTGTGTGCTTCAGCAATTTAAAAAGTTGGATATAAACGTGTCTCCGTGTGATACAGCTAGCTTCTGAAAGTGAGACCGTCAATGTATACTTTGATCTGTATTTGCACCTATGACTCAAGACGGTTTAGAAGGCATGAGCCTTGGGGATATAGATAGATAGATAGATAGATGGATATACATATTGTGATAACAGTACTTGTTCTTCACTTTAGACTTCATTGGACAGTTTTTAACATATATTCAAATGTTTTAATCTAAACAGCTCCCAGGATGGCTGGTTTCCTGTTCCGGGTTTGCCTAAGGCCATCATTTCAAACATTTTAACTGCTGTCAGAGCTCTGCAGTATCCCCATTTTCAAAGCCTCTTCTGTTTTGTTAAATCTTCCCCCCGCGTGTCTTAAAGATACTAAAAACGCTTTTCTCTTGTTCTCCTTCACTTTAAGGTCTATAGGGACCTTATTTTCTTCAACTCCTCTCATCTGGGGGGAGAAAAACACTTCTTACATCAGTTCCCTAGACATGTTGGAGGACCCTTTTGTATACTTTACTGAAATACCATTTAAAAAATGACACTACCCAAGGACCAGTTTTTCTAATTTTGTTTTACATCTACATCATATGAAATTTCAAATTGATCAGATGACTGTTTTTTTTTAAATAAAAATTTGAAAACTCATCTAACACAAGCTTAAAACATACATCCTTTTTAAATCTCTGTGTTCTGAATATTTAGAGCAAAAACAACCCAAGAAGCCAAGGGGGGGTGTGTGTGTGTGTGTTTAATGGAATGCTGAAACAAAAGCAGCCTCAGTTTTCTTTAAAACCTCAAGGCAAATACTTGGTTATGGGACAGACATTGCTGATTCACTGGCCTTTTGTGACTGGATACTGACTGGCAAAGTGAAACTTACGTATCACACTCTAATGGGCTTGATCTGGCTCCTTGCCTAGGGATAGGAGAATCAGACTCTCCAGGAATATCAGTATTTCTCATATGCTTCTATCTATATTTACATTGCCTTTTCTGTTCCTACACAAACAGTTGTGGTTTAGTGAAGCAAGTTCCTGTCAATAGCAGAGATTTGATTTCTTATCCTAATAACTTAGGTGTGACTTTCTGACACTGTTCAAAATAGGAAAAGAAAAATCCTTTTATTTGTTTTGCCAACAGAATATTATTATTTATGTCATTAAGGAGCAAGCCTGAAAATTCTAAAATTAGATAACTTTGGGGTCTTTCAGCCTTGTCTTTATCCCATAGATCCTCTTCTAAGTAATTATAAAACACAAAGTTTGAGGCAGCTGCTCTTCATAAGAAAAATACTGTAAACCATGCTTATGTGACATGCAGCTGGGCTTATATGGTCAAGAGTGTCCAGCCTCTCAGGAGTAAAGCTAAAATCACTTCCCTCCACCCTCCTTTGTTTTGTATAAATATTGTAGCTGATCCCCAGAATTTTTGACTGTACTCTATCTATAAATATAAAACTCAAGCTCTTGAGAATTAACTGTTTAAGTTAAACAGTTTAGGTTCAGGAAGAGCTTGCCCCAGATTGACTATAGTTTTTCTTTGTATTAATTATCAGATTTTTTCTCTAGTTTTTATATTGAAAATTATTTCTGAACCCATAAAGACTTGTTAAGACATCATTCTAGAATCCCCAATATTTATTATAGTTGTTATAGTAACAGTGGAACCCAAGTTTTTTTCAGAGCATTATTCAGCTTTTCATATCTAGGCAGAAACAATTTCAGAGGGAAGGTAAACCCAAAACCCCAGTTATGAGAATGAGGCTTCAATTTCCTAAATCATTTGTGGTTATAATGATGGATACCATCTTGCCTGGCACCTGGTCCACATCTTTCCCGAAGTCTACTATAAGAGGGAGTAAAGAGCAGCCTGTGAGGCCCCAACAAGAGCCAGAGGAGGGTCTGAATGACGTGAAGGGTAGTTCCAAAACACTGTATTGCCACAGTCCCTCTACAGCACTGCTGTGATCAAACACTCATAGGAAAGCCAGAAGAAAGAGCAGATGTGTATAGAGGAAGAAAATTGTGTAGTCAGAAAAAAAGGGTTGTTACTATTGAGTTGTCCAGAGAACTGTGTTAACAATAGAGCTTTGTGCCTTTGCCAGAGTGTGAAAGAGGGAACCTGTGTTACTCTGAGACTCATGGCCTGCCCGCCTGTGTCTAACCAGCCAAAGTGAATGGGGCCAGGCTTAGCTGCTTTCATCTATGCAGTCACAAAGGTAAAGATGATACTGGCGAGGATATTCCCTCCCGGGAGGCCTTGGCCTCAAGCCCCAGCAACCTTGGCAAGACTTGCTAAATAACACCTTTGTCTGAGACAGGGTTATGCATCTTCTCCTCTTCAACACCCTCATGACAAGTCAAGGTGGCTTAAGATCAAGAAGCAAGGACATGGATGTGGACCATCCCTCTGAGCAGCTCTAAAGTAGGGCCATGCACACTGCCTTCCTGTAAGTTCTTGCCCAGATCCCCTTCACTTCCTTGACATAGCTATCTCC